ATCTGACGTTATGTCTGCTAGAACAGACAAGAAATCCACGTGTAAATGAAGAGCTGCTGAGATTTAAGATCTGCACCAGGTGCCACAACCTTCCCTGGAGGTATTTGAAAAGCTTCATGATATCAAAGCTCAGAAATACAGGTAAACAAGCCAAGGATTTTGCAAATGCATCGCTAATATTTCAGATTCCTGTTACCAAATACCTGGGAAAAAAAAAAAACCCAACCAAAAAAACCCCCAGCATTTTCTACACATGACCCTCATCCAAAATTCTCATAAAATGGCTGGCCAAATAGCACCTAACCAAGCAGATCAGGTGACTTACCCAAAAAATAATAAATAAGCAAGTTCACTCGTGCTCCCCAAATCCCTGATATGAGAAGAGCTGTTTCAACCCCAAAAACACAAAATAAAAAGAGAATGATTCAAGAAACAGACCAAAGGAAATTGCCAATGTACAGGTAAATTTCAACAGCAGCCTTATCACCAAGCTCATCCACATCTGAGTGAGGAAATAGCAGGATACAACTAATTTGGCCAAAAAAATAAAAGTAGTATTTCATCATCTCCTACCACAGGGACCAAAGGTGGCTGAGGGAGCAAATACCCCGCCCTGAGACAGAAAATATTTTCTACCTATTCATTATGTCATAGATCACTCAGTATCTACCCAGGATTACACAAAGCATCTCATAAAGGAGGTTTTTTTTGTTTTTTTTTTTTTCAGAAAACTCTTCCAAGGGAAAGCTTTGGAATGCAGTATTGGAGATAGAGGCCTTCCGCTAAGGAAGGAGGAGACATTGTTTAGGGATTTTTTTTTTTTTTCATTCCAAAGATAGGGAAGAAAACCTCATTGACTGAATTAAATATTCAGAGCGTCGCTCTACCAAGACACAACTCCATTATGGAAAAACGCTGTATTTACACAGCAAACACTGCGGATTGAGACTCCTGCCCCCCAAAAAACAGAGGAGCTGGGCTCGAATGAATCAGCAACTGTTTCTGGAGATGGGCTTTGGTGGGTAGGGGAGTTAAAGCACAAGTGAACCCCGCGCACCCCGACGAGAGTGGGTGGGTGTCAGGGACTCTCATGAGCCAGGCTGGGGAAAGTGAGGAGGGGGATCCCATCAGACTCCATAACGGTGGATGGGTGTAGGGCAGATCGAGGAGGGGGATCCCATCAGACCCCCATGAAGGTGGCTGGGTGTTGAGAAGGATGAGGAGGGGGATCCCATCAGACCTCCACGAGGGCGGATGGGTGCCAGAGACGCTCATGAGGATGTCAGGGAGCATGAAGAGGGGGGTCCCTCCGTGCCCCCACGGGTGCCGGGGTGGGGGTCCCGGCCCGAGCCGGGCGGTGACTCACCGCTCTGCTCGCCCAGGAACACCAGCTTGAATTTCCGCAGCGGGTTCCCGAAGTCCCCGCCCGACGACATGATGGAGGAGCCGCCGCCGCCGCCCCGCGCTTGCTCCGCTCTCCGCGGCGGCACCCGCGACCGCTCCCGCTTCTCTCCGCCTCCGCCTGCTCCTGCTTCTCCTCGTCCTCCTCCTCCCCGGCGAAGGCTGCGAGCCCCGGTGAGGTGCCGCTGTCGGTGTCGATGCCGGTGTCGCTGCCGCCGCTCCGTCCCCCCCCCCGCGCTCCCGGAGCCGGCGCTCCGCCCGCCCCGCGCACGCGCTGTGGGCGCTTCCCTCTCCTACGGGCCGGGAATGGTTTGGGTTGGGAGGGACGGGGAGAATCATCGAGTTCCACCCCCTGCCACGGGCAGGGACGCTTTCCACCGGGACGGGCTGCTCCGAGCTCCATCCAGCCTGGCCTTGGGCGCTGCCAGGGATCCAGGGGCAGCCACAGCTTCTGTGGGCACAGGGCCTGGCCACCCTCACATCCTCAGCATCGGGGTAAGGGCTGCAAGATGTGCCCAGCCCGCCTCACGGGCGCGAGGCAGGAACCAACAAAGTCCTTAAAACCAAAGGCTCTATTCTAAACTGATACAAATTCAGAGGAGCATATCTGATCCCTCGCAGCAGGGTGATGTTTGCCAAGAAGGTCGGTGATCTCCACTGTCATCCTTTGACAGTAGCTGAGGGCTCTCCACCTCCAGGTTTCCTTTTCACTATTTTTTGCCCGTTTTTCCCCACTCAGCCCTCAAAGTTCAGTGGTTTAGGAGGTTCTCAGGTGGATCCTGGCCCCTCCTGTTTAAACCTTGGCTGGGAGATTGTTCTAGAGCGTCTCTGCTCTGATTGTCAGGGAAATGGCATCTGCTACGTGTTTAGTTTTGAAAGCCTTTCTATTTTTGATCGTTTCATTTATACTCTCTCAATGTGATTAATTGCTTCACCAAGGGCTGGGGTTTTTTCACCCAAGTCTTGAAGTACCAGAGAACTAAAAGAGGAAAATGTGTCTTTAATGAGGTGGTTAAATTTAAACAAGTTTTAATAGATATGAGCAGAATCTCCCATCCAGTTCTGCACCTGGCATCTGGGATGCTTCCACACTGGTTGTGTGGCTGCTCTCCTGCACCATGGAGAAAGGGAAGCTAGACTGGCAGAGACTGGCCTGACATGGTTTCAAATATTAAATACAGATATTGTCCTTGTTTTTGTGTCAGGGTGCGTTCCAGGATCTTCCCCGCCAGTCCCAGGGAAAACAGCTGAAGGCAGAGGAGGAGACACACAAAACAGGTTTTCTTCTAAGGTCCATTTGAACACTTCTTGATTGTTTTCATCATTGGATGAGTCTGAAAAGAAGTGGAAGAAAGGCCTGGGAAGCCTTAAAAAGGAGGAAAAGCTTCCTGGGTTTTTTTTTTTTTTAGTGTGGTGCAGAAAAAGGAAGTCATCAAGTCACCTCAGCTTCTCCATGTAAATGTTACAAAAATGTTTGGAAGTTGTGCTCCTGCAACAGGGATTCGGCTCCTTGGCTGTGAAAGGATGCAAAAGGCAAAGAAAGGCACATTCCAGTTGGAAATAACGACTGTGACCTAACAGAGGGGGTGCTCAGCCACCAGAACAAGCTGCCAAGAGCAGCACTATCTTTGTATCCAGGGAAAATCGAGAGGAGCCTTTGTGGGAAAGATGCTTTCACAGAGAGAGGAGTGATCTGCTTCCCTAAAGCCCTAAGTCAATGGAAACCTATCAACTGCAAGGTGCAGGAGAGTGAATTCCCTGATTTAACAGTCCCTTTTGGCTTTAAAATGTATCCATCTATGATAGATGTCAGAGACATTCCTCAGTGGAGAGGTGGACTCGACTGGTTTCTCACAGAGACACAGAAGACAACAAGGCGTTGGGAGGGGGGATCCCTGCAATCTCTTACTGCCGTACCCCAAACTCAGCCTGGGGCAACGCTCTCTCCTCAGCCACGCTGTGTGGGTGGAAGAAAAGTGAGTCCCCAGGAGGGGCAGAGGGAATTAAGGGGTGCAGTCCCACTCCATAGGCACACAGCATTGGAGGGCAGGGAATTAGGAGTCATCCTCGAGCTGCTCTTAATCGTGGTGCTCATCACAGCTTTCTCTACAAATAAAGGACCAGCCAGCCCCCTCCAGTCGCAGCAGCTCCTCCTCAGTTTCCTCTGGGGCTTCAAAGATCACGGGAGGAGAAGCTCAGGTTTCCTGGAGTGGGAGTGCCGGCCTTAACCAAGCTCAGACTCCCACAGTAATCCTTAGTCAAGCGTCATTCCCAGGCTGGCCCTGCCTGGGGCTCGCCAGGTGGGTTCAAAGGGCAGGATAACATCCACGTGGGCAGTTCTGTCACGTCCCGGGAGCACTAGGAAAACACAGCTTGGAGCTGGGAACACGTGTCCTTGCATTGTGGAGCAAAGGTGCCATGGATCCCCTCTGCTCTCTCCATGTGCTGGGCAGGTGGAAACATAAACCTTGTCCTTGACATTCCTTCTGTCTCCTCCGTGTCCAGCACAGATGGACATCAAGGGTGTCCAATGTGTGTCCGGAGCTCCAGACACTCAGAAATGCAAGGCTGGGTGTCAGAGCAGGAAATGAACTTGCCACGTGGATGAACTGGAGGGAGAAAGTCCATCAGGAACGCTGACAGCTCCAGCAAGATCAATTGGAGCAGTCATCAGAGCTGGAAATCCTGACTCAAAATCCAGCTCCCAGGCAGGGAACAGCTCCAAGAAGGGGGCTCAGGGATGTGGGCTATCTGCTATGGGAGAAGGGGGAACCAGACTGGAGACAAGGGAGCCAGGAGGAGGGAAAAGAGCCTGTGGGAAATTAAGGTTTTTGTGGAAGAGGCAGTTGGGCACGGGATGGGTTTTCCTGAGCCAACTCCAGACTGTCAGGTCTGGCAGGCAGGTGGACCACAGGCCCATCTTTTCCCAGGCAGACCCCATGCTCACTTGCTCTCCCACTAGGAAATCAGGGAGGAGGTCCTCGCCAGCCCAGCCTACCTACGCTTAGGATTTCGTGATTGTAAATTTTTTTCTTTTTTTTTTTTTTTTTGATAATACTAAAGGCCTGAGTAAATGGCCGCCGCGACGCCACTCTCAAGGGGGCCGCTGCACCACGCTGGGGCGGGGCCGGCGCCACCCTCAGTGAGCGCCACGTGGCCATGCCACACTCAATATGGCCGCCGCGCCGTGATGGACGTGGCTGCAGACCAATCAGTGTGCGAGGACGGGGGGGCGGGGCGTGCGGTGATAAGCGCGGGGCAGGGTGCGCTGTGCAGCCGCTGCCGCACGGTGGTGCTGTCCGCTGCATATGGACAGGCAGGAACGCGGTGTCCGCCATTATCCCCCACATACCCGCACTCTCCCCGTTCTCTCCGGTGCCTACTTCAGGCCACCAAGGCCCCGCCAGTACCGCGGGTTGTCCAAAAGTTGTTGCCTACGGGAGTCCTCAGTGGGCGGAGCGGGGAGCTGTCTGAAAATTAGAATTCCTGAGAAGCATGGGTGGGCGGAACGCAGAGAGGGAGTGGCGGGACGGGGGGAGCCGAGTGGCAGCGCACCGAGGCACGGAGGGGGACCGCTTTGAGTGACGGACCGCTTTGAGTGACGGACCGCGGCGCCGGATGATGGCGGCGGTGCCGAAGGTACCGGGAATGTCCACAGGGAAGGACAGGGGGACGGAGGGAAAGGGAGGAACAGGAATGGAGGAGTTGCTTTGGGATAGCTGAGGCAGTCCTAGGCCTGCTGCTGGAGGTCTTGATCCGACCCTGGTTTGGTTTCGGAAGGAAGTGTGGGATGGAAATTCCGAGCAGATCTGCCACGCTCTTGTGTTTTAACCATTGCAGGTGCTGTGCTCGGAGAAGGGAGCGTTGCTCAGGCAGGTGTTCACCCTCAGCAGGTGAGAAACTGTTGGTTTTTTTTTTTTGTTGTTGTTGTTGTTTTGCCAAGTCTTTTAGGAAAGACTGAGCTGGGAGCTGAAAGGTCTGTGGGATGGGAAAAAAGTGGAGTCTTGAGCTGATGGGATCAGGCCGTGCCTTTGCAAGAGTCTTTGCAAAAGGACATTGGCCACATATTTTTCCATACGTAAAGGAAAGAATTGGTAATTACTATCTTGTTCCTTACAGATTTTTTAATCATTATCTTGTTTTCTATAGAGCAGCAATAGCCGGAGAAAACCGTCTGTGTGCTGCAGGTAAGGTCTGTTGTCAATCTAGTTTTGATTCCCTCAAATAAATATTAAACACTTCCCTCACATAAATAATAAACATTTGAGCACTTGTGTTTCCTTTTGTATTTTTTTTTAGCCAATTTTGGACTGGTTAAATTACCAGAGCTCTGCCACTTCCATATGTTTTTTTTCTAACCTTTTCTTCTTTTTTGTCCTGTTCTTGGCTAAGCAAGTGGCACCAGTGGTGGTGTTACGTGATCATAATTTGGGTCTCTCAAAGCACCTGTAGATGTTTGTTTGAGCTGGAAAAATGTTTGCTCTGCTTTCATTTTCAGGTGATGCACTCCTGGGTTGCCACAGATCCTACAGGTCCCGACCTACACATGGAATTGGGAAATTTAAATACCTGCTCCCAAAGGAGGTAGGCAGAAGGAATCCCTCTGTGCTTGCTTTCCCAAGGTACTTTGCTTTCCTGAAGCCTATGGATGCTTCATATCAGAAGGCCAGATTGGATGGGGTTTGGAGAAACCTGGAACAGTGGAAGGTGTGCTTGCCCACAGCAGGGGGTTGGAATGGGATGAGATTTAAGGTTCTTTCCAATCCAAACTCTTTCATGATTCCAACAAGTACCCACTCACCACACTGTGGAAATAGTTCCTTTTGTCCAGTACGTTCCTGTGGAAGTGAGTGAGTAACTTTGGAAGGGAGGAGCCTCTTCCTGATGCAGAATTTGACACTTGAATTATTCCAGAATATTGTGAGCAGGTCTTACATATAACCTTTTCACATTCCCTGAGACTTAGAAATGGAAATAGATCCATTTGTGTGGAAGGAGGAAACAACAAGAAGTCAGCTGCCTTTTAGGCAGGAACTGAAATAAACAGCAGGTTTATTTCTACTGGTTTAACTTCTTTCTTCCTCCTGAAGAAATTAATCACAGCATGAGTGTCTTTTCTGTGTGATGCTATCCAAAAGCTGAACCTTTATTCTCAGATACTTTTATTTTATTATATTTTCTTTTGGAAAACAGGTTCCAAAGAGGAGAAAAGAAAAAGTGCAGATGAAAGAGATCAGTGAAGGCACTGAGTACCAGTATGGAGATATCAACATCCAGATGACTTCCTATGATCTGTGCCTGGTGGAGCATTTTGCTCAGTATGTCCACAGACTCTGCAACCGTCTCTCGATCCAGGTCAATGAGAGGTAGGAGGAAATCTGTCCTGGGTTATGACCCCCTGCACATCACAGCACACTCAAATCTCCCTGAGAGATTCCCGTTCGGGTGTAAATCCGAGCCTCTCGCCTGCCCTGTGTTCTCTTTTTTTGTAGCTGTACAATTTTGGATGCTTTATTTACATGAGGAAAAGTTGAGTTTTTCAGGCATTGACTTAAGCAGATTCCAAGAAAGAAATAGCTGTTACATCTCCTTCCCCTGAGGATAAGGTTTATAGCCTGTGGGTGCAGAGCCTGGAAATAGCTAACATTTGCTGCTGGTTTTCCTTCGTGGTCTGTGATCCAGGCTCTGCACACCACCCTCGTTTTCCAAACTGGAATGAGCTTGGGAAAACCCTGAAGGTGCTGGGTGAGCTTCCTGCTGCTTCAGTTTAGGAGAAGAGGATGCTTCAGGAGCACCCTAATTCTCCAAAACAGGCGTATTCCAGCAGCCATTCCACTGGTTTTAATGCCTGAGCAATGTCAGGCAGCACCTTGGTGCCTGAAGTGCTCCCAGACAGCTGCAGGCACTAGGAAAAGCCATGAGCTACCATCAGGGAATAAAAACAGTGGTGACTCTCTAAATGTGAGGTTTTCACTTGTACCCTCTGGGGCTGTACGTGGTTCAGTGTGTAGAGAAAGAAAGAAAGCAAGGATTTGCCCTTCAGACTGGAAATTTAAGGGAAGAGGCAGGCAGTAGGATGGAGCTTGGATGTAGCTGTGGGAATGAGGATGAGGAGGCTGATCCAGTCCCAGTCACAGTCTCATTAAATCTGAGGTGTAAACAATATATTTGGAGTAGTGCATTGCAGCACCACGTTTTAGCTCTGTCCCAAAAGACAGAACAAATCAGAACTGTTGCTTTTCTTGAACTATGAATAAGTTAAAAGTTCTCAGGCTGGTGTGTTTGGAGCTAATCCAGGTTTTTGCAGGCAGCAGTGCTGCAGAGCTTCCTCCTTATCTCCTTCCAGCAAAACACTCGGCCTCTGCCAGTGCCTGATTTGCAAGATACATCCTTTACATAATTCATTTCCCATAAAAACTTAATCTCCTTCCCCATTCTCTGCTGTGGAGGTTGTTTCATCCCTATAAAGTAGTGCCGATATTCTACCTGTCCTAAGCACTGCCCTCTGGCTCCTGCAGCTACGCCATGCCCACCAAAACCAACGAGGTGCTGTTCCTGGAAGAGAGGGGATCCAAAATGCAGCTGGATGCAGTCCTTACCACCCACCAGAGGGTTGTCCAGGTAGGAGCTGGGATTTGCAGCCAGTGCTGCAGCACTGTGTATCACAGGCTCCCCAAACTCCTCAAACATTTAACAGATGGAAGGCATCATTTGGGCATAAATGGAAGCAAAAAGTCTAATTATCTTTTCTGCTGAGTATTGCTCCTAAACTGGAAGCCCAGGAGGATTTCCTGGCTCTCTGTTTGAGGCAAAAGATTTATTATCTATTTTTTGCTGAGTAATGGATATGAAAGATAGAAAAGTCATGTCTGGGGATGGATGACTGGAGAAACAGCATTAGATGGGATATTGGGAAGGAATTGTTCCCTGGGAAGGTGGGCAGGCCCTGGCACAGGGTGCCCAGAGAAGCTGTGACTGCCTCTGGGTCTCTGACAGTGCCCAAGGCTAGGTTGGACAGGGCTTGGAGCAACCTGGGATAGTGGAGGGGATCTCTGCCCATGTCAGGGGTGGGACTGGATAATCTTTAAGGTCCCTTCCAACCCAGAGTGTCCTGGGATTGTTCTTGTGCAGCTCTGTCATTTCTGCTTTCAGATACGTGGTTTGAGTTCGACGTTTGCTCCCATACTGCTGGAAATCATTCAGAGTAACCAGCCTGAGGGGGTCCATCTGTTGATGAAACAGGTATGGTTACATTTCCCAATGTTTTCTTTCCCTTTGGAAGCAGGGAAAGGGTTTGTGTGATCCTGATTTGTGGTGCTTTTCCCTTCCTCCACAGCACACAGAAGCCGATTTCAAGAGCCGACTGAAGTCTCGACCAGAGCTGGAAGAGCTGCTGGCAGAGATGTCCTGAGGTGAGGAGCAATGTGCCATCCGTGGGCTGTTCCAGCCTCCAGAGGGTGCTTCCATGAGCTCAGTACTGGTAACTCAGTGAATTGGAAGGAATTCCTGCTGCTGGCAACCAGCTTGTCTCAATAAAAGTAAATAATGTGTTTGTATCTGACTGGTTTGTACTGGAAGCAAAGGTGCCACAATGGAATGTGGGTTTACCTTCCCTTTTTTTTTTAAATTCCTGCCTATTTTGCTTTTGATAGGTGGGAATTTCTGCAGAAATCTCTTTGCATGAGTAATGTTGTACTGCAACAATCCCAGGAATTGTTATAACCAAATTTGATTGGATGCCAAGAGAAACTCTTCCAGATACGGGTTTGTTTGGAGGCTTTTTCTCCCCCTTTCTAAGGACCAGCTCGTGAAAAAGAGGGAAAATGAATTTACACTCTCTCCCAAACTGGGGCTGTCCAGGTGTTGCTTATGCTTCCATGCCCAGCCCCTCGGTATTCCCAGCACCATATTCCTGGGAAATAACCTGGAACATTCTTTCTGGCAAAAGCCATGCAAAAAAAAATTTTATTATCTTTCTCAAGGCTTATTTACCAGCACATGATGGTCAGATGAGACTCCCTTTTTCTCCCATATCTAATTTTTCTGTGGCTTCCCAGGAGATAAATCCCATCCTGTAGGACAGGAGATAAGCACTGCTGGAAAAAGCCTTAGGATGGCACAGAGGACACGGAGTAAAAATCCATAGCAGGGCTGTTCTGGAGGTAAGACCCAGCCTGAGTGCTGTGTGTGTTCCTGGATTTGGGACATTTTGGGCTGGATATCCACAAGCACAGAATCATTTTGGTTGGCAAAGACCTCTGAAATCATTGAATCCAAGCTGTGCCCAATCCCCACTTTGTCACCAGCCTAGAGGACTGAGTGCCATGTCCAGTTCTTGGAACCTCCAGGGATGGGGACTCCCTAGGCAGTCCCTCCCAATGCTTAAAACCCCTTGCCATTAAGACATTCTTCCTGGTGTCCAACCTGAACCTACCGTGGCACAGCTTGACGCCGTACCCTCCAAACCAGCCACCCCCTCCAACTTGAAGTTATCCCAGTGGCACAGATGAAGCCGAGGGATGACAAATTCCAGATTTAATTTCCCAACAATTCCACGAGCAGTCGTATAGAAATAAACCCAACAGGGGAGCAGTCCGGGCGGTGTCAGTCCGTGGGCTGGGCTGGGCTCGGCCCTCGCTGCTGCTGCTGCTGCTGCCGCCGGGCCATGCAGGCTCCGAAGGCGCGGACCTGTTCCTGGCAGTGCCGCCAGTCCTGCCGCTCCGCCATGCACTCCTGCAGCTGCCGGTGCTGCTCCAGGCAGCCGGTCCGCGCGATCATGGCATCCAGGGGATCCTCGCCCTCCTCGGCCTCGTCCTGCTGTGCCGCCGCGCGGCTCCAGGCGTGCCCGGCCTTCGCCATGGGGAGCTGGGCACGAGAGAGGTGCCGGTGTCCTTTGGGGGCACCCGGAGCCCTCCGCACCCTCCCCGTGCCCCTTATCCCAGCACCCTCCTCGATCCCCATCCCTCACCTCCCCAGGGTGCCCAATGCCCCATGGCTATCCAACACGCTCCTCAACCTCCTCCCAAAGGTGCCCAATCCCCCATGGATGTCCAACACCCTCCGCGAACCCCTTCCCACTGCACTCATGGGTGTCCCCCCGCGTCCCCAGTAGACAGCCCCCGTACCAGAGCAGCGCAGCCCCTTTAATGCGGGAGCGCGGCACGGCACTTCCGGGACGTGACACGGCAGGGGCGGGGCTCGTTGATTGACAGGTTGGGCCTTTTCCGCTCTCGCGGGGGTTGACGGGAAGTAAGGAGGCGGAAGTGTGTGCAGTTACCTCGGCAAAGATGGCGGCGACGCTGCGGATCCAGAGCGACTGGAGCCGTGCGTTGAGGTAGGAACAGAACAGTCCTTTTCTTTGTCTCTGTCCTTGTCCCGTTCCCTGCCCCGCTCACGGCCGCTTCTTCTCTCTGCAGCAGGGACGAGGGCGAGGCCTGGCTGAGCTGCCGCAGCCCCGGTGAGTGGCCTGAAGCGGCCTGGAGGGAGCCGTGGGGATGAGAGGGGATCGGGGCGGATCGAGAGGGGTCTGGGGGTGAAGGGTGTTTAAGGAGCCTGTGGGAGCAGAAAGAGGGGCGTATGGTTGGGGGACTCTGTGGGATAGGAGCTGGTGGGGGGGTGCCCCGTGTGTTAGAAGGGAACGGGGCTGCCGGGGTGCCCCGTGGTTCAAACGGGGGTGCGAGTCTCTCGGTTTAAAAGGGATTGGGGTGGTTTTGGGATTCCTGTGGTCTTCAAGGGGATGGGGTCATTTGGGGACCCTGGGGGGGTTAGGAGGGGATGGGGATGTTTGAGTTCCTTGTGGGTAAGAAGGAGGTGAGGGTGGTTGGAGTCCGTCTGAGTTGGGAGGGGACAAGGACAAGATGTGGGGTCCCTGTGGGTGTCGGGGCTCTGGGCTGTGAGGGTGTTGGAGCTGACGGCTGCTGTCCCTTAGGGAAGCCCACCTTGTATGGCAGCGTCACCCGGCGCGGGCTCAGCTCCGACGGCGTCCCAGACATCGTGGCCTCTGAGGGATTCGTGGTCGGGGAAGTCACCAAGGTGCCAGGGCTGGGGGAAGAGCGGTTGGTCACCACCTCCCATGCACAAAGGGGACTGCTCTGACAGCCTGAGCTGTCATCCTGCACAATCCTGTCCCACTATCCCAAGTCTCCCACTGTGCAGAGCCCTGGAGCTGGTCCCTACCACCTCACAGGGCTGTGGCTGGCCAGGCTGGAGCAGCCATTCTTTCCCACCTGCATCCTGAGCAGATGAGCCCCACACTGACCCTCCCATCAATTTTCAGGCCCTGGGATCCCACATCGGGGTCCAGACCACAGTTCTATCTCAGCAACTTCTGTTTCTAATTGCCTTGTTTCTTTGTTTCCTCTTCTAGAAAAGCATTCTCATTTCCTGTCCTCATGAAAATGTGTCCACAAAGTTCCTGGCTCCATACACAAGTTTTTCTAGGATTCATCAGAAAAGTGTGAGTAGACTTATGAGGTGGGAATCTCTGGGTGTGATTGGCAACTCTCACATCCCTGTCTGTGGTGTCCTTGCAGTGAGGGGTTGGAATGGAGATGGAACTGAGATCTTGTGTTCTAGGAATGGTTTTTAACCCTGGACCACATGCCGCTCACTCTTTCCGCCCTCCTCCTGCAGCGGGATGGAAAGGGTGATTGGAGGCACAAAGAACCAAGCTCAGGGTTGAGATAAGAGTTTCCTGAGAACAGCAATGGAATAAGAAAAGAAACAGTAACAGCAATGTTAATTAACAAAATGTACAGGACAGGGAAGAGATCAGCTTACCACAAGTTTACCAAAACCTGTGCCACCAAGTGTACATGCATACATTTGCAGACATTGTGAGATACTTCGAAATGTAACACATTCAAGTAATTCCATCCACATTACATGAGCCCCTTTCCCAGCTCCCTCAGTTGCTCCTGGGGCTCCAAGCCCTTCCCCAGCTCTGTTCCCTTCTCTGGACATGCTCCAGCCCCTCCATATCCTTTTTCTGAGGGGCCCCAAGTTTGTATAAAGAACTAGTTTTGGTACAGTGTTTCAGCAAATTTAGGCTGTGAATTTGGCTTCATAAATATCTGAACTGTGTCTTGTGGGCTTGTGAGTCGAGCCACTTACCATGAACTGTTTTCTTATTTCTCATCTGTTTACAGGACTGTTAGAAAAGTCCAGATTTCTCTTCCACCTGGGATAAACCTGGAATACAACTGCTGCTTGTGCAGGCTTCTGCCTCACCATTTCTTTTACTCCTTGTCTTGCAGAGTCACAGGCAGAGAATGTACTTAGCAGCTCTCTGTACAGAATTAGGCTCTTGAGCAGAAATCTTTATATACAGAATTATATAAAGCTAATTCTTGGTGCTTTCACCTTCCTGCAGATTACCTGCCTTGATATTTCCAGTGGTGGAGGACTTGGAGTGTCTACCAGCACAGATGGGACCATGAAAATATGGCAGGCTGCAAATGGAGAAATAAGAGTAAGAGCATCTGGCTTGAATGTTTTGGGTTGTCTGTGACGTTCCTGAAGGCCATGACTTTGGTCAGCCTGTCCACACCCTGTGAAGAATCTGACTTTTTAACAAAAAGCTATTTGAAATAGGGGATCTTGGAGCCTTTAAGTTGTATCTGTTGGAAAAGGTGGCTCCTCCCAAGGCAGATATTGCTCAGAGAGGTACTCAGGAATAACAGGTCACAAACAGCCCCTATTCTGCATGGTAAAAGTACTGAATTTCTTATAAAAGAGAGAAGAGGGGAGGAAAAAAAAGATTTTGGTGCTGGTTTAGCTATATCCTGACTTGTGGCCTTCCCAGTAAAGGGGGAAAGCTCCTTCTTGTGGGGCTTGACCTGTCAGCTCAGTTTGGCAGAGGATAAAGACATTTAACCTGTAATCAGAAGCAAATAAAGTATCTTTTGCTATGCAATTAGCTGCTCAAATGGTAGAGGGAGGCCCAAAGTCACCTCTCTGACTGCCCCAAATTCAGACCAGTCCACTCCAATGGACTGCAGATGCAATGGTCTGCAATGCAGACCCAGAAGATTTGAGTTTAATCCTTTGGCCATGTGAGAATGACCAAGTTTTCCAGTGTCATAACTCAGCAAATGCTCAGCACGAGGATGATGACAATGGAACTAGCATGTAGTTCTTTGTTTTTCCAGAGACTTTTGGAAGGCCATGTGTATGATGTGAATTGTTGCAGGTTTTTCCCATCGGGCCTTGTCGTTCTGAGTGGGGGAATGGATGCCCAGCTAAAGATCTGGTCAGCAGAAGATGCCAGCTGTGTAGTAACATTTAAAGGTCACAAAGCAGGTATAGAGCCCTTAAAATGCTTCATTTGCTGTCTGTGTACCTGCCTTGCACTCCAGAGCTGATGTCCAGTCGCCAGCCTGCTGCACTCTGTGTTTGATGTCTGCAATGTAGCATCAGATGCCCCAAACACTACCCCAAATTCTCTCTTCCCTGAGCTACCAATTGCTGTGTCCAGGCTCTGGTTGGTTTTCACTGTCCTATGAGGTGCTGGACTTGATTGAAAGGTTAATAAACCCCATGTCTGGATGCCCTAAACTTGATTAACTCAAAAACCCATCTTGTGCTGAACCTGCCATTGTTCTTACATGATTTGGGGATTGGAACTTGATCTTCAAGGTCCCTTCCCACCCAAGCCATTCTATAATCTATTTGTGTGCACTGAAAATGCTTTTGCAGTGATGTCCCCTAACCAAACCAGGTGGTATGGCAGAACCTTGGTCAGAGTAGTGCTGCCAATCACTCTTGAGGTGACTTTAGTCACTGCTTATTCCTCCAGCCCAAACTGCTGCAGTCTGTTTGCTTGGCTTATCCTGTCCTTTGAGCTTCTGTAGCCAATTAAATCTTCTGTTCTCTGCTAAGAAAACCACTGTCATTTTTCAGATCCAGGTTTGACAGCACACAGTAAAATAAAGTAGTTAAGGGATTTTAGTGTCAGCAGACACTGCTCTTTGGATGTTGCTGTAGCTGTATAATAGGGATACTGCTTTTAGGATTATCCAGGGGTTGCACATGGGAACGTTTAAAAATGTCAGGCTCTTTTCTGCCCAAATTAGAGGTTAATTTCGTGTGGCACCACCTCGGGCTGAGGTGAGGTGTTGCTGATCATTTGATTGATGATATCTTCCCTTTGTGCCAGATGGTGGTTCTTCTCTGTGAGGTTTTCTGGGAGCTGCTGCCTTCCACAGGCACCTTTTTCTCGAAGCAGAACTTGTCTATGTGTGACTGCTGTCACTGGGGACAGTGTCCTGGAGCCAGTAGTCGAGGTCAGCTTGGGAAATTAGGTGCTTTGTGTGTCTATATGAACACAGTCTTTGGTTTCCTGCAGGTATTTTGGACACTGCCATAGTGGATCGGGGAAGAAATGTCCTGTCCTGCTCCCGGGATGGCACTGCCCGTCTCTGGGACTGTGGGAAATCTGCCTGCCTGGGCATCATTGCTGACTGTGGCTCTCCCATCAATGGCATCGCCGTGGGCACTGCTGACAACTCCCTGAACCTGGGCACGCCCGAGAAACCTCCCAGTAAGGCCCTTTCCCTTAAAATCCCCCTTCAGTTCCCTGTCCCAAACTGCTTCCGTTTGTCACCAGTCATGCCAAGTGTCTGGAATGCTGCTCCATGTCCTTATATCACCTTGGGAAGGGAACAGAGCACTCCAGTCCCGGGTGGAATTCAGCCCTATCATGTAGTTTGAGTGATGAGCTCTGCTTGGTTACTGGCCTTCCTGGTGTCTTGGGATCTGGAGGAATCTTGGCACAATTGAGCTGGGGTGATTCAAGCTGTTTGATTCTGACCCCACTAAGATTTGTTGTGTAGCTACTGCTGGAATTACCTGTTGTCCTT